CACACACACACACACACACACATTTTTATTAACAAAATAAAAATGAAGAGGTTTATGATCTTCAACCTTTATCACCTGACTACAAATACAATATAGTCAGCAAATTAATACATTAATAAAGATTTAATACAGTTGAAAGGTTATCTAACTTGTTTATGTAATCATTGTGTATTAAACATCACGCTTTGGAAAAATACCAGATAAAGCAATAAGTGAATAAAAAATATATAAATATAAGTGATATTTCCATTTTTATTGGTAAGATAAATCTCTATCAAAAGAAATTCTTATAAAAATGGCAAAATGACCTCATAAATAAAATGAAATATTCAACCTTTCAAACAGAACTTTTGAGCTTCATGTGAGTTCAGGTTGTTTTATCGTTCCCATTTTGCCAAAAAGTTATTCCCTCTTTATCGGCTCAGTGTGGTTCGTTTATTTTCCAACTTACTGTTGGAGTGGATTACTGGGAGCTTTGTGCCCTTAGGGTAGAAATATGTGATCCACTGTGGATTAAAACAACACTGGTTTGGTTTTAATAATAAAGAGTCGTTACCCCGTCAGTCCCACAGCTGCCGGTTTTCACTGTAATAAATCAGTCATTTAAAAAGTTGCAGAATTGAAGCAACTTCCAAACAGTCAGGACTTTTTGAACAGACATACGAAAATATGGGTGTGATTTTGTTCAGGGTTTAATAAGTTCATGGATCCTCACCAAGAAGCATGTTGGAGCTCCTATAACTTCATTTTCACACGTGACTCCGGTGATGCAGACACTACGCCGGTGGCTTTGATCCTCATCATCTGGCAGCTTCTGGATCTGATCTCACTTCATTTAAAGCCTGATGCTTCTTGAACGTCTTGTTTTATTTAGGTACCTCAAAAGGTGCAGAATTATGAATGTATTTAAAATGACATCTTTCAAATGCAACAGTCAGAGGGTAAAAGCTTTATGTGCTTAAAGATGCTTTGAAGCAAACTGAGGATGATGAATAAGAAGGTTAATGTGGTTTATTCTCCTTCAGTCTGAACGCTTCTGAGGCAAATTAGCTTCCAGGATGAAAATACGTTCTGCAACTTTTGAGTATTTTTCATGAAAATTTTAGAACCAGTCTCAAGCAAAGGAGATCATTTAAACACAAACAGGACAACTTCCATGTTTTCTTGTTTGTATTTTACTGATTGTTTGAAAGATTCAAATTTCCAGGGCAAACATTCATTATTTGACTTTTTTTTAAATAATGCACATAGAGAGTAACATTTGTACTTATATATATATATTTTGCACTTTTTGCCACTTCAGTAGAAAGCAGAACTTAATATCAGAATATTAGTATCTGAGCTTCTTCATCATCAGTGGCTTTTTTAATAGAAGAAAAATAAAGAGAAAGAAAAATGAAATGTAATGAGAAAGAGTGAAAGAGAGATTGGAAGATCTGTGAAATATACTGTATGTTGAGAAAACACAAGACAGTACACCCAACTTCTTGGCTCCACACCTACAAAAACAAAGATAGCAAAACCACAGCAACAAAAATGCATATCTATATAATTACTTATATTTTCTCATACAGTTGGCACCAAGCATTTGATGAAACTTGTGTCCGATCATGTGAACAGTTTTCCTGCTGACATCATAACTGACCTCTGACTAAACCGGCAGCCAACCAGTTCTCACTTTAACGCTCCAGAGAATTTTTAAGAAGCAATAAAGAAAAGTGACTTTTACAGCAGAGGTCAGTAACAGACACGTCTGCCTGTCGGAGCTTCCCTGTGGCCAGTCTGTCCCAGTTCTGTTCATTCCAATCAGAAGGATTTACTCTCAGTGTCTGAGCATCAAGCTGCACTAATCTCAGCCCTGGTGCTGGCTGCTCATATTAAGGTACCGGTGGTGGTGGTGGAGGTGGTGGAGGTGGTGGGAGGTGTTTAGCTTCGATGGGGACATGACCGCCAGTACACCTCTGACAGGACAGAAAAATCTGACAGGGCAGGAGAAAACTAAACACAGCTAACTCAAAGGATAACAACAAAACACACATCTTCACAGCTGTAAGTTGCGAAGCTGTGCCAACACAGCTGTCACTGAGTCAGGAGGATTTGAACCACAAAGACTCAACACAGTTACAGTATTTCAAAGAAATAAGAAACTTTTACGAACAAACAAGGCAGCAGAACAAAACTGAAGGCAACAGGCACCAAGGAGGCGCTGCTTTGTAAAACTCCACTGATTTAGACCGACACTGAGGGGCTGCATGAGCTGTGGCTAATAAGGAGTCCCTTTTTCCAGCTTTTTGTGGCCCCACAGTTTTTAAAACATGACAGCATCAAAAATGAAAATATTGAATGGGAAATATTTTACAACTATTAAAAGTATTTTATTTTAAGACATGAAAATGCTTCGATCTTTATGTCTTAGAATAAGTTAATAAAAGAAACGTAAAGTGAATTGACAAATGTAACACTTCAAAGTAAATCAATACTTAGTAAAAACAGGATGTGAAATAAATACAGTATAAAATCCTAATGTGTGGGAAATGCCCTTTAAAATTAATTCATGTCTGAGTTATTTAATTCTTTAATAGTGTAAAATAAAGCTTTATTATGCTGGCTCCATGCAACTTTCATTTTATTTAAATTATTTCAGTATCTTTGCATTCTGCTTCCATAAACTCTAAGATAAACATCATTGTTTGTTCACAACATAAACAGAACAGCTGCTTTTCCTCTCCACCGCTGGGCACAGCAGTGTTTGAATTTCCAGGATTTCAAGGCCTTCTGAAAAGCACCTCATCAGTAGTTTTCCAGTCTTTTCAGCAGACCCTGAGTCGTGTTTGAACAACTAACCAATCAGAGCGGTGAATGGTCTGCTTACGCACACTTCCTGCAGCCAAAACTCGTCTCTTTAATTAAATCCAAGTCTTTCATTGCAGAGCAAACAGCAGCATAATGCTGCGTGCTGACAGGCTCACAGGATGGAGCTGCTCCCAGCAACACCTGGCCCAGTAAAAAACAAACAGGCTTTGAAACATTTACACGTTTTCATTCTTCTACTTACAGTAATGCACTTTTGTCTTAATTATATTAAAAATTGTATTTTTTTGTGATTACAAGCTGAATGAACTATGATGCTCCTGTTACATAATAGAAAAACTGCCTATTATGTAACAGGAGAGTTTGTTTTGTAAAACGGACACACATTTAAAACCTTATTTGACAAAATATTTTTAAAATAAATACACATTTATAGGCATTACTGTGACATTTTTTTTC